TCCCCTGTGTGTGTCGTGGTGCTTACGTGTGTGCGGCCGCAGGCGTGTTCATGACACCCTACGCCAACACTGTCGATGGCTTCGAGCGTCAGTTTCAGACCAACTACCTCGGTACTCGTATGCCGCACACAGTTTTCTCGGCGCATGGAGTAGCGTGCCGGGCTGACTTGTGTGTATCGCGCGCCTAAAGGCCCGTTCCTCCTGACCAACCTCCTCCTCCCGCGCATGATCGAGACCGGCAACGCGCGCATCGTCAACGTCTCCTCCCAGGCCCACCGCATCGGTAATAGCCGTTGACACCTGTGTGTGTCTTGTGTGTGTTGTGTGATCTGACGATAGGAACCGCGAATTATGCGGCAGGCAAGTTGGAGTGGGACAATCTGCAGATGGACAAGGGCTATAGCCCGCTGATTTCTTACGGCCGCACGAAGCTCATGATCGCCATGGCCAGCTACGAGCTCGCACGGCGACTGGCCCAACAGGGTGCGCCAGTCACCGTCAACGTCGGTAGGTCTCACACACACACACACACACACACACACACACACACACATCACAGCCTTGCGAGACACATGCGTCAACTCACTCAATCGCACGACACACGACACGACACGCACGCGTTCAGTCGATCCGTTCCTGGCCGACACCGGCGTCGCGGCCTACAGCACGCCCATGCGGGCTTTCCTGTTCAAACTCCTCCAAAAGCTCTTCGGTACGCACCGCACCGCGCGCGCAACAATGCATGCGTTGACTTTTATGGTGGGCGAGGGGCAGCGGTGAAGCCGGAAGAGGCGGCGCAGACGTTCGGGTGGGTGGCGAGCTCGCCGGCGCTGGAGGGATGACGGGCAAGTACTTCATCCACAACAAGCGGCAGATCGCCAGCAGCTCGACCTCGTACAACCTGGACGACGCCAAGCGACTATGGGACGTCTCCGCCCGCCTGGTCGGTCTCGGGGCCACCCGCAGCTGAGCTGCTCCTCGCCCGCACCCCGCCCCCAACCAAGCCGCGACCAAGCTTGGTCGCTGGGAGGCCAAGACGAATGACCACCCAATCAAAAATCTCTGTGGTCCGTGGGACAAAAAGAACGAAGGCAAAGGCTTGGACGAGCAGTCACTGTGGGCGGCTTCTCTGAAGCGAGTGTGTGGGCCACGGCTGCTGGCCGTCACATAAAGTGGCGGTCGCCGGCCGTCGTTTCCAGTTCTCTCATCCCTCTCGCTTACCATTCCCACCACCTCCACTGCCGCCTACACCACCACACAAGTACGTTGCTCGCCTCAGTGATCCTGTGGTCGAGAGGCTGACCTTCCTGTGTGCAGGAACCACACCACGCGAGATGGAGAGACAAACCAGCAGAGTGAGCGCCATCAAGGAGCAGTTCGAAACGCTGTCCGCCAAGGGCATCGACGTGGCCAAGGAAGCTAGTTCGTGTCCCCTCCTTTTCTCGTTCTTTGCGGTTCGCCGTCGCGGCTGTTGATTGGTCGCCGGGGGGGGGGCTAAGGTAAATAATAAATAACTAATTTTTCGTTTATAAATAATATTTTTAAATACTATAAACAGAGAAGGTGAAGGCGCTGTTCAAGAAGTACGACACCGACGGCAGCGGCGACATCGACGCCAAGGAGTTCCAGATCCTGGCGTTCGATCTCGGCCTGGTCCTCACTGACGACGAGGCCAAGACCTTCGTGAAGGAGCTCGACACCGATGGCAACGGTACCCACCACTACTCGCCGAACCACCACCACTGGGTTTGTGGCTCACTCTGTTGGTTTGGCTGGGCTGACCCACCGCCACCTTTCTTTCCCTTTCTTTCAAGGCACGGTCGACTTTGCCGAGTTCCTGACGTGGTGGAACAACCCCGACAAGAAGGTGGCCGGCGTCGAGAACGAGAACAAGCTGAAGGCGCTCAAGATGCGCCTCCGCTCGCAGAGCGCGCTGGCCGCCGCTTCGGCCATCACCACCTCCCTGCTCAAGAGTGCGTCGCCACCGACCGACCGAGCCACCGCAGGTTGACTGACATTGACTCGTCGCGACTTCTTTTTGTGTGGTTGGTGCAGCCGCGGAGGCGGCCAAGGCCGTGGAGAAGGAGGACAGGTCGACCATCAGCCTCAAGGTCAACATTGGCACCTTCGACCAGCCGCGGAGCTCGCTTGCGCTCACCTACGCCCGCTCCGAGGACCAAGGTGCGGTCATCCGCAACATCGCACCACCGCACAACAGCACACGCCACCACCGCACACGCACAACAGCACACGCCACCACCGCTCACATGGGTGGAATGTTTGGGTGCAGCCACGGCGCTGAGGGCGGCGACCAAGGCCGACGCGGAGGCGATGACGGTGACGGTGAAGCTGGCGGTCAAGGAGGGAGCTGACCTGTTCGAGGTGGGCGAGGTGTCGAGCGGCGTCAAGGGCGTGCTAGCGCTGGCCAAGAAGTCGCTCAAGTACTCCAACGTGGCGTCCAAGATGGACAAGGCCGGCGATGGCCGCGACGTGCTGGCGCTCAGCTTCGCCTTCCAGCCCTCCGAGATCGACATCATCACCAGCGGCGCGCAAGTGCTTGACACCCTCAAGATCACCAATCTCGAGGTGAAGCTGGACTCGAGCGAGCGCCCCGGCGACGCGTCCAACCCCAACGGCGCCAGCGGCCGCTTCTCGGCCACCGCCGGATTGGACCGCGCGTCGATCCAAGCCCTGTACGATGCCTTTGGCGCGTCGGAGCTGCCCAAGAATCTCAGGCAGGGCTTCGCGCTGGCGAGCGCCCTCCGCAACGTCTCCCTGCTGATCGAGTCCGAGACCATCAACCACTTCCTCAGCAAGGAGTTCAACAAGGTCTACCCGGCCGAGGACGTCAACGGCTTCGCGGCGCTCAAGTCCAAGATCATCATGCCCAACCTCGCCAAGATCTTCGGCAACGACGAGCTGCCCGCTGTCTTCGTGTACGCACCCACCTTCGCTTTTTTCTTTCGATCGCTTTCGTTGTTTGCTTCCCTCCCCAAAGCTCTTCGCTAATGGTCGTGTTCTTTGCTTTCGTTCTTTTCTGTGGGGACGGGACAGTGATCTATACTCGGGCCTCGTCAAGGTGTTCAGCGATGTGCAGGGCATTCAGGTGGCCCTCGGATCGCATGTGTTCGACCTCTCGCTGGTCGGCCTCAACCTCTTCGAGAACTATCTTCCCACCCGGTGCGTGTTCGTTCTTTGCTTTCGTTCTTTTCTGTGTGGGCGGGAACTGGTTCATTGGCTGACGATTCCTTCACATTTCTTTTTCTGTGATGGTGGCGGCAGCGATGAGATCAAGAAGTGGATCGAAGAGCAGGAGGCCGAGAGGCTTCGCAAGGAGAAGGAAGAAGAGGCCGCCAACTCGTCCGACGACGACCTGGAGGCCTACTGCAACTTTGTTCTGGACCTCTAGATAGAGCGAAGTGTCTCCCCACTCCCGCGGGCTACAGCACCTCATGGCACGGCCTGTACAACCCAACCCCACCACCCACTCAGTGTTTGGTCAGTAACATGAATGAAACAATAACATTGACGAAACGAATCAAGGCGCCTTCTTTGTTGATGTTCGCCTCACAAGCAGCCATCAGTGATGACCGACCGCCGTGGGCTTCTCTTTCTCGCGATCTGTGGCGCGGGACTCGGGCACGAGTATCACCGGACGCTGGCCGCAGTACTTCATCACCGCCGTGCCCGACGCGCCCAACAGCGGCCTGGGATGCCTCTGGCCGATCACCACCGCCGCAGCGTCCTTCTTGTCGGCCAGGTAGCACACCGCGTGCCCGAACCCGCCGCGCGTCGTGTACGTGAAGTGCTTCACCATGCAGTGCCGCTGCACACACGACACACACACGACACACGCCACACACGACACAATCGAGTTAGAGTCAGTCAGCGACACAAACGTAATCACAGCGTACGCCGGCGTCGCGGCACATCTTGAGGTAGCGGCGCTCCAGCGCCTGGTGCAGGGCTTCGGTTTCTTCGTCTTCGCCGAACGGCGCGTGGGTGCTGCCGCTAGACGACGAGGACGAGGAGGTGAGGGACACCCGGATGCCGTGGGCCAGCACCAGGGAGCGGGCGTGCGGCATCTGGGCCAGCGTGAACCGCAGGGCCTCGTCCGCCGCCGGGCTGCCATCCACGCACACCACCGCCAGCCCTCCTTCATCGTCCACTACTTGGCGCTGAGTAGTGGTGGCCTTGTCTGCGTCTCCTGTCTCCTCCTGGGCCTCGAGGCGCCCATTCCTCTCCTGCGGTCGCACAGACCACTGGTGAGACCGAGTGAGTGCGGGGCGGGGGCGGGAGTACCTTGAAGCGCTGCTTGAGGTGCTGGGTGGTGTGGTCCTTCTGGTTCAGGAAGCGCAGGCGATCCACAAAGTAGGTGTCGAGGTCCTCCTCATAGTTGCCATCACCACCCTTCTTCGTCTTCTGCGCCCTATTCTCTGCCATTGCGTGGTGTGGTGGCTTGCTCGTTGGCTTCTTTTGCGTTTTGATAGTGCCCTATTTCTGCACGACTTTTCATTGGCTGTACTGAATTTGTTCCGATTCCCAGTTGGCTGTTTGAATTCTTGAGAGAGGCTAGAGAAATGTAAGAGAAATGATATTATTTTGGAGTAGGGCCAAGATGAACAGGAGGGGGCCTGGCGGCGCCAGCACAGGGCTGAAGAGCCCAGCAGTGAGCGCTGGGTACGTAGCCATCCACTAAAGTGTCATTGGCAACGCCGTTCCTAATCGATTTTAAAACACTAGAAAGGGCAACGTGGCCTCTCGTCCGGCATCGTCGGGCAGGACCGACCAGGTAAAACCTCGCTGCTCTCCTCCTTTCCAACCCACGCTCAAGGGCACACCTTCACAAGCGCAGAAGCCTGTCGCGAAAGCAGAGGGCACTGGTCGTACGGACGAGGGCCGCGGCTGGTTGTCCAGCGTGTTCAACCCTCCGTCCTACTTCATGGGCCGGTGGCTCTTCCTACAGGGACTCGCGTACGCAGCCCTCTCTCAGCGAGTGCTTGGGGTCTTTTTGGTCTCTACTCACCCCGAGGGTTGTTGCATTGCTCTCTCGTTCTACAAAGTGCTGTGTATCTGGTGGCCTTCTCCTCGCTCTACGTGCAGATTCCCGGGCTGTGGGGGCACGAAGGCATTCTGCCTGCCGACGCCTTCATTAAGCGACTGGACACAGCCAAGGTTGGTTCTTCCTCTTACTCTTTGCCTATGCATGCTCGTACAACACCTCTCTCCTCACATTCCTAAAACAACGCGTGCGTGCCTGCATCGATCAGCTGCCGTCGGTGATGTGGTACCTCACGCCCCACATGGCGGTCGACACGGCCATGCACGTAATGGCCCTTATGGGCCTCGTCCTGTCGGCCTCCGCCCTCCTGTTCCAGATCAACTCGTCCATCTTGTTCGCGGGACTCTACGTTCTCTACCTCTCCCTCTTCCAGTACGGCCCACAACAACTGATCGGTCAGCTCTCGGACTTGGCTGTTGAAACTGACGGGCGGTGGTACGACTCCTTTTCTCCACTCTGTGCAGAGTCGGCCAGACATTCCTGTCATTCCAGTGGGATATCCTGCTGTTGGAGACCGGCGCTCTGGCCATCTTCGTGGCCCCGCTCATTTCCCGTTCACGGTATGAGAGATCCACTTAGGCTCCGTTGTTGTTGTTGTTGTTGTTGTTGTTGTTGTTAATCGCGACACATTCCATGTCGTTGTGCGTGCATGCGTCACTGTAGATACGACCTTGCTTCGCCCACCTCGCCTTTGTCTACATTCATGGTGCGCTGGCTGCTGTTCCGGTTGATGTTCCTCTCCGGTGCGTAAGCCTCCGCCATCTCCCTTCTTTTGTGTGTTCGCCAGCCTGATCGAAGTTCAGGACTGGTGAAGCTATCCAGCAACTGCCCCACGTGGTGGGGCCTCACCGCCCTTCACTACCACTACGAGACTCAATGCATTCCCGGTCCGCTTGCGTGGTACGCGCACCACCTGCCCGATGCTGTGCAAAGGTACTATGCATCAACACCAAACTAGTTTCGCTCTTAAGAGTTGCGGTAACACTCGGCTGCGTTGTAAGACTCTCAGTTGCAGCGACTTTTGTTATCGAGATCCTCTGCCCCTTCTGGATATTCGTGCCCAATCGGCTGGTGCAGATTGCTGCCGGCCTCCTGCAGATCTTCCTCCAGGTTCGGTTATCGTTCGTGTCGTACCTGCGTTTACTATTGCCAGTGCCCTCACAAACGTCAATACGCGCAGCTCTTGATCATCGCCACGGGCAACTACACTTTCTTCAACTGGCTTACCATCGTCCTGTGCTTCCCGCTGCTCGACGACCGCTTCCTCGCGCGCTTCTTGGTGATCCCTGCCGATACCAAGCGCCAGCTCACCGGCGGCGACGACCGCCGCAGCAACAGACTTGGCGATTGGCTGTCGCGGGTGTTGCTGACGTTGGTCATCGCTGCCACCGCTTTCGTGTGCTGGCACGCTTTCGAGGTCGACTGGCCGCGGCTCGTCGATGGGTTGGCGCCCGATCTCAGCAACCCTCACCCGGCCGTACGGGTGGCCTTCACCCGGGACCAATGGGCCGCATTCCTCCACTTGCTCACCCCGCTGAGCATCGCCGTCGGCGGAGCGTTCTTCGTCATCAACGCCCTGCGCGACGTGGGCCAGGCCATCGTCGCCTCACTTTCGACCACTAATGGCGACCAGCGAGACACGGGCAACGAACGCCGCGGCAGCCAGAAGCCTGCGCCCAAGCCGAATCGCTCGTGGGGTCGGCTCCTGTGCTCGACTGTCTGCGGCCTGTGGCGAGTGGCCCGTGCGGTGGCGCTGGTGGCGGTGCTATCGGGCCTGTTCCTGGCCACGCTGGTGCCCTACACGAGGAGCGCGGACAAGGCCACCCTGAGCCAGCTGCCAGACATCGTGCGTATCTGCTACGCCCACACGCAACCCTGGCTGGTGACCCACTCCTACGGCCTCTTTGCCAGGTAGGCGCCTCAACTCAGCGACTGCTCTGACTACTCTGTGGCTAACCTGTGCTGGGCGCGGTTCTGGCAGAATGACGGCGGAACGCCCGGAGATCCGGGTGGAGGGCTCGCAGGACGGTCGCACGTGGCAGCCGTACCTCTTCAAATACAAGGCCGACCTACCCAATGTCGCTCCTCCCCATC